TTGCGATCACAACTTCCTGGAGGGCCCGGTTAATTACATTAAATTAAATTCTTTATTTCCACAAGTTGAGATATACACAGTGAACCTAGAAATTGTCAAAGTGTACCGTAACTGAGAGAGGATTTACAGACGTTTCCTTTTTCTTTATCTTATCCTGAGATCCTGATCTCGTAATTACGAAATAAGGTGTCAATTTGTTTTTTATCCAGGGAATGCAATGCGCTTCCGTAGTTTAGGATTGTTCAGTTTGTTTAGTTAATGTAGCCCGAGTTAAGTTCTGTTTAGTTGACATCTTTTATGGGCCCAGAACGTTATTGTATATTTTGTAAATTGGTTATTTTCAAATTTGTCAAAGTGACTTTATTGGTCAGAAAGTGTAATTAATGTAAGCAGCAATAAATGGGCACTTTTTTTTTCAACAAATGCCAAAGGGGGTTTATGTAGAGGATGTCCATTAGGGGAGCCTTAAAACTGCAGTAGTAAAAATATTTGTCATATTTGCTGAACCTTTCACTATATCCTTACAGTAGGGAGTGAGACAGATAACCTGTAAAAATATCAGGTTCCTCTGGCTGCTCCTAAGATGTCATTAACACTGAATCCAGGAGTACAAAGGGCAAATGAAGAGAACTTCCCTTTGAGGATCAACAAAAGACACACAAATACTGCATAGGTCTTCATGGTGTTTTTTTCACAGTTTTTCTAAACATGATCACAAAGGAAAATGTTCACACTGTAGGCAGAAATCAGATGCAGTGTGAACAACATCAATCACATGGAATTTGATCTCTTCAATTTAGCCACTTTTGCTCTGACTCCATCCACAAACACCTCTGGGCAGAAAGTAGCAGACATTGCTCCAGAAAAAGATACAGGTCTGATTTTTGCAGTGTGAACAGTCTTATCAGAATTAATTTGCCTTTTACGTCACTCTAGACCTGCGGTTGTCCTATGGGTCACATGACCTCTTCACACTGGAATCCGATATGAGCCACAATTAAAAAATAATGCGAACAACCAAACAAAAAAAACATTTGCTGAAACTAGAACATGAGACAGAAAAAAATCAGGTTCCTCTGGCTCCTCCTAGTTTTCCTAATGGCATTTGCAAATATCCACCAGGCCTAAACGAAAACAACCAATCAGAGCCGAGAGTTATAGTTCATTCCCATGTTGTCAAATACTGACAAGAAATTAGCAAGTCAGCAATCAACCATCTTTAAGACACCAACCCAATGTGTCTCTTTCTCAGCTCTGATTGGTTGTTTTCATTCATGCCTTTTGCAGCTTCAAGGCCTGCAGTGTGAACACAGCCAAAGTGCTTTAAAAAGCTATAATGAAGTGAACGAATGTGAGTGAGTAGATGTATTGATCTTTTTGCTTCAAGAAATACAGTATAAGCATTATAAACAATTTTTGTTTAAATACAGGTTTATAAAAATCGTTATGAAAATATAGTGTTTTCCTAATTGCATATTTTGGGAGTGTGGAGACAGTGAATGGAATAACAGTATAACATGCCCATTTAATAGCTGGGCTGTACATTCTGCTTGACTTCGGTACAGGTTAGATTTTGATATAGTGTCAGTGCAGCCAGTGCTACAGCCTGGTCATCACTGCTCTAATTCCTGCTAAGCCTGCTCTGGAGTGCAGTCCCAGCGCCACACGTGGAGCATATGGTCATAGAACGAGCAGCTCGCCAACAGACAGGACAGTGAAGGGGCGTCCTCATTACACTCGAGGGCAGGAACTGCAGCGCGGGTGGTGGAGGGCGTTGCGATGTCCTCTGGGATGTATCGTCCTGCATCGTCCTCCAAGGAAGTGTCAAAGCTGGCGGTGGGAGACTCATACTGAATCCTCAAGTGTCCTCCACTCTCTGCAAGGCTTTCCTTTGGTTCCGCAGCAGGAGGGGAGCCCGGAGCAGGTTCCTCCAGGGACAGCCGGGACCAGTCGGCTCCATATGCCAGGGAGTTGTGGAGGATGTAGGAGGCTATGACAGGACACACTCCTCCACTGCCCTCTGGACAATGAGGGGAAAACAACGAAGGCTTTGAGACAAACTCGACAATGACTAACAAGTTATGTTCCTTAAAGGATACATTTCATTCATACATTTTTATATGTTAGGTCGACTCTCTCAGCTTCACTAATGGATCCCAACTGATTCTGTGATGAAGCTGTAGGACAAAGCCTGTGCTTGGTTACTGCCAGGGCAATATGAATCTGTCACGACCCGGCTCTGGAGCCGTGACAAAAATGAAGAGACGCAGTTGAAAGGACAAATTATAA